TTCACAACATTTATTCGGAATCGATGTCCTCCCTCGTGAAAAACGTGGGGTTGATCAAAGGGCGGTGGTCGTCGCGGCGCATCGCGTCGTCTCCGAGACTTCCATAGCGAAGTACACAACGCGTGTGAGATTTAAACACGCTCTGCGCGACGACAGTCATTGCCTTTTAAGTGGATGATATGCTCTGGAGACACTCACTTCAACTTGAGTGATTGATGGAAATCCCAACATTTAGATCAGTAGTATTTATTAGGTCTGTTTAATCCAAATTTCTCTGTAACACTATGTGATATATGGCGATGGTGAAATAGTCACATTTTGACTTCAACCATCCATTTTCCTACATTAAAATAATGTAAAATAGAAGTTCAAGTTGTAGTACATTAACAACGAACCGAATAGAGTCATGTCATACGCCAACCATAGGAACATACAACGGAACCTAATCACAAATTGTACGCAAATAGTGAGTGTGAATCAAACTGCGACTTCATGAGTTCAGAACTGATCTATCCATTGGTCGCTTGGTTGCTGTTTTACAGTAACGACCGGTGTTTCATTTTCTTTATTTCCACTGTCAGTACGAAAATAAGTCACAAAATAAGATTTTGTTTAAACAAATGGCTCAGACTATTTGTAAGCACAATATTTGATATCATTCAGTTTTCAATTTGTCACGTTTTACTAGTATTCCAACATGAACATACCAAGCAAAATGCCACGTGTAAATAACACTCAACACTCTTATTTTGGCCATAGAGGAGAAATGTGGCAAATGATAACACGGCTGATAACAGAATGTAGATTTTTGCACTTCGAACACTGCGGGCGCTCTTTACTATAGTGCCAAAGTGTCCTGCATTACCCATCCGCCGATCATCACAGCAAATAAAATTCGCCCTCTGTCATCGGGATGGAAACTAATCGCGTCCCATGGAATAATGCCAGATAACACGTACCGGTAGCATGATATCGGCGGGAGATTACAGGGCATGCACATAGGTGTAGTATGTAAGGAATGCGTTGGCACGCAACTGTAGTATTCTCGGCAAGTATACTGTAAAATTATTTATCTTAGATGGAATTAATTTTCGTCGATGAAGCAATTTTGTCAGTTTGTATGAAGTTTAACAGTCCTTGTTCGGACACAGTCCGAAAACGGGGACTTATGGAGTGACCTCTGTGCATACGTTCGTGTGTCCGTATATCTTATACATGCCTGGACCAATTTCATTCAAACTTCACACATACATCATACATAATATTGTACATATGCACACCAATTGTCACGATCTGATTCGAGATGGTCGAATGACCGCATACGCTGTTTACAAATGAATTTTGTTCAAACTTAGTACATTGGCAGTTTTGTTTCAGTGACTGTGGTTATAGTGCTCTGACATCCTTTGACTGATTATGTTAAAGTTTTAAATATTCATTATACATCATCTCATAGATATTCAGAAAATGGCCGAATGGTGGACATTTTTGTGATTAAAAATCATCAAAAATCAACCATTTCTGGGATTCCGGAACCGAATCTTGGTGGCTTATGAATGGGTTTCATTTAAACTGAGCCCATACATTAGATATTATTGGTCTCCGATGCACGCCATTTTGTTTTCAGATCGGACTCAAAGTGGCCGACTGGCAGCCATTTTGTTTTAAAGAATGCGGTTCAAGTGCCATATCTCTGACATGTTTTGACTGATTGTGTTCAGATTTTAAATATTCATTGTTATTATTTCTTCTAATTAAGGCTGTTCCAGATCAATATCTCTCAATATGGACACGTACTCGTACTATATTACTATAAACAAAACTATATAACTCAGATTTGATAACTAAAGGGGTCTGTGCTATGCATGGCTTGTTTTCACTGGATTTCGATGAGTTGAAACTAAAATATAGAAACAAGGATATTTTCACTGGATTTTATTTTGTTTCATTCCAACAGTGCAAATAGTAAAAATAAATTACAAGTGAAAATTAAGTACTTTACAATACATGGGTTTTATTGACATACTCAAGCTATCGTTTGAAGCAATGTCTAGCTCCGATAACGGACGATACTAAATGATTTTTTTTTTCTATTTATACTGATCGGACTTCATCTCAAAGCTCCATTCCTTCTTGTGTATTATATGCAGAACACCTCCCACTGATCATTGTGATCAGTTGCTATGGCAACAAATCCTGAAACATTGGAGAACTGAAGCTATCCGGCTCTTCTCATGATGTATAATCACGATGTTGTAATCAAGCAAGGCCATTGAGTCATGTTTATTTTTATTAGAAGGTACATCTAATGAACCATATAAAATTCTAAAGCCCCCATAAAACGTACATGGGTAAGTGGGCGTTTATCTACAGCTCGTACAACTTGAACTTGACAGTGGAAATTTGAAAAATAACGCCAGGAGAGTAATGTCAGTAGTGCCTCTTCCCTGATACTTTGAAAAGGAAAATCATATATGTCTGATTTCAGTACTTGATTTTTTCCAGGGGTATTTCCATGAAAATTATGTTTTAAATCATGCCTAATATTGACCTTCATGTACCTTCTGTACATTATTACAAATTCCCCCAAATGTTAGGCGTTCACTTTCAAACAATATATTTTGAGTATTTTTGTTGGTATTAACAGTATAGGCGGAATATAACGGATAGCATCCATTGTCATCAGTCAGAAGTCCAACTCGTACATTGCGGTCAGTGTAGTTAACGTGTAATGTATTTGCACATATGATGTAAACAAAGTTATTGTTGCCTTACCGAATATTACAACATATATTTTAAAAACACAATCTTTGTCTGTGTCTGATTTCCACAAATCATAAAAGGTACATCGTGTTCACAACAGGGAGCGAAATTTGAAAAGCAACCAATATTCTTCAAGCTAGTATTTATTTAGTTTTTATTTTTCATACTGTTTGACTGTTTTTTCGAGTTAAACAATGTGAGCTGGCTGGAGCCTTCATTCCTTGTCTATTTCTTACACTAGATACCAGCCGAACCCCTCCCCCGCTCGTAGGGACTCATAGTTCCTGGGTTCCCTGTGTTTTCACACGTTTAATGTTACGAGGAATGGAACAGGTGAACTATAAGAAGTGAAAGAGACTGTTAACATTCGCTCATTTGAACTCTCATGTCAATTACAATTTACTCAGTGTGTCTGAACTGCAGAACTCAGAAACTGCTCGAAGCACCGTTTATCTTGATGCACGAGACATGACTATTCATTCCGCAATCACACAGCGTGTCAACAAATGTTGGAGAATACGCCCTAGCATGAAAACGAGGATAGAGATAGTAAACAAAAGGGGAATATTATTGCGGTGTGCAAACTGTCCTTGAAAGTGAAGCCCGATAAGTTGAAGATGATGTTGACAAGCCATACTAATAGCGGTTGTGGTAGTAGATACACCGCATCGCAATTATTTGATTGAGTTTTATGACGACCTTAGCGGCAGAACATATTCAGCATATTGAAATGCTCGTGTCAAATTAAGTGCAACCATATCTCAAATGTACTTGTATTCGGAAGTAACATAACCAACATACAATATGGTTCACTATACACAAAAAACAGCGACAAACAAAATAGTGGTCAGTGTTCATGAAACACATTAGTTATATTCCTCAAATGTTCATTATAAATTACTTCTGGTGTATCAAGGGCTCCAAGGACCTTGTTGTCTGTTTGAAATTATTGTACCTAACAAAAACAAATGTTTTATAAAAATCACCTGTGGTGGCGCACTTCACAACATGTGGGTTTCTCTGTTATGACCTTCAAACCCACCTGCAATCTTTTGTGTGTTTCTAAGGTTTCGAAGAAAAAATAAAGCCTCAGTAACGTAGAAGTAGTTCATTAATCCACAATTGTAATCTTTGGTGTGTTATTATATTTTCATATATAAACAACCACAATTAGGCCAAAAAAACAACAACTTATGTTGCTCTCAAGTCGGAAAACTCTTGAAAACTAAGGGTATCGTAAATAGCCGAGGTATATGGAAAAAAACGCGACCCGATATTTCATATTTTTCGGTCGGTCGCTCAGGGCAACAAAACAATTCTGTTTTGGCCTTATGCAACACAAATCTCATATGACTGACTTACCGCCGAGAACCCCCCCCCCCTCCACACACACACAAATGCATGCAATATAATAATGGCGGTACAAGATCGCCGCCCAACATCGATTCTAGACTCACCGGTATTATACAATCTGAATTCATTAACATTATAAGGTGAAACTGCTAAAGACTACACGATTTCCCGGTATAATCTCATGGGGTGGGCAGCTTTTAATTTAAAGTTCCATTGATTTCACTTTTTGCAAATCTGCGAAGTACGATTCCCGATAGTCGCACTACACAATGTTAACCAAAGCCTGACTTGATGGGAACATTTTAAAAAATACCCGTATTTAATAAAAGTAATTAAAATTACAATGATGATTTTAACCACGGAACTAAAAACTATGCTTTCAGTTCTATGGTTTAGTTATACATGGAGCTAGCTCCATGATTTATACAACCTAGACCACGCGGTGACGTTGTTTAGGGTGTCAACTGACGCGAGACACCAGCCCAAGTATCGTGCCGGTGTTACGCCACCAAGTTCTTTCCCGCAAGGATATGAATCTCTTAATAAAACGTTAAGCTGATACATTGCATGATGATCATACTATACGTTACAGCAGGGGAGTCGTCACCTGCGCATGCGTCAGATTGCCATAGGTGTCATTGTTTACAAACAAACGTCTATCCATGAGCCTTTGCGTTTTTAGCATGTGTTGTTATCGTCGCTTGGGACCCAATTTCCGCGCGTGCGCAGGTGACGACCCTCCCGCTTTAATGTATAGTAATCCGCTCAAGTTAATATAGTTGGT